AGGCCACAGCTAGCCTGTCCGAGGCCACGCAGCCTTGGCATGGCCTGGGCTGCCACGTACGGTGCTAGCAGCCGAGGCCAGCCTCTTCTTTTCTAGGCTTCCGAAGGCGACGGCCCCCCTCAGACGCTTCTCGGCGCCTCGCAGAGTGCAACCTTATTGGCATTGGCATCTCCACCTTTGTGGGCTTTAGCACAGGCCACAGTTAGCCTGTCCGAGGCCACGCCTAAGGCTAGAACACCCATCTTCTTTCCGCAGACGGGCAACCACCGGAACGACACTAACGCCTTCAGTTACACATGCTACACTCCTCTTGAAAAGGGGTCGGCGGCACCCGGGCGAAGCCCTTACAATAAGTGGCAGAACACGGAAACACAAAAAAAAACAAACCCTGCAAGGGACTTATAGAATCTGACAGGGGGTCTGGAGCCGGATGCCCTATGTCCGGCTCTCCGCTGCCATGCAAATGGGCAGCGCTCTATTTTGACCTCGAAAGGGGCTGAGGGTACATGTGGTGCATGTTCTGCACATATGAGTTGTGTTTTTTTTTGTGGTGTGGGGCTTATACACTGGGTCTGTACCTACGCGGGTGCCTACGCCTGGGCTCCCCTCCCAAGCAAATGCCTACGCGAGAGGTTCTCTTTGTTAGGTGCCTACGCGGGATGCCTACGCAGGGTACTGTCACCAACTTTAGTCACATCAGGTGACTCGAAAATAGAAGAGCTATATAATCCGCAAGTAGTGGCCCGATGCGACCGGGTCACATCAGGTTCCGGGTCACATCAGGTTCCTGTTTACAAGGCGTTTACAGCTTTGCTACCGATGGCCAGATAGATTTTGTATCAAGCCGATCCAATTACAGTGTGGAAGCAGCAGCACATAAACAGCGCACAACAAGCAGCAAACAAGCAGCAGAAAACAAGAGGCAGCAGCACCAGCAGCAGCAGCAGCAGCAGCAGCCAAGCAGCAGCAAAAGCAGCAGCCAAGCAGTAGCAGCAGCCAATAGCTTCTTGCCTACGCGCTGCTTCCGCGAGCGCCTACGCGGCGCCTACGCGAAAATAGGTCCATTGATTATGGTACCAACAGGGTGCGCACAGTTGTAGCTCAAGAGCCGGTGTGCCAGACCAAGCACGATCAAGCTTTTGACCTCAAAAACCAATGTGCCCCCATAGCTTCGACAAACAAACTTCAAACATCCACTGTAGCCATGTCGTTACAATTCATTTTCATTTTCCTTCCCCACTGGAATTTGCAAGCAAGTGCCAAGTTAAACAACTACAAGCCAACATTATCTTTCCCCAAGACCCTTGAACAACTTTTAAAGAAGTCTGAATAAGAAAATTCAGGCTTTCATGAAAAGGGTGCCTACGCAAGACTGCCTACGCAAATCTTTCAACACCCACCTACGCAAAATGCTTACACGACGCCTACGCCCCAAGCAGAACAGCCTCCGCGACTTCTCAACAGTTCCCTTTTTGTATAAACCTAATCATTTGCAAAAAAAACGTGGCTCATATGCGACTGCACGGTATCCATAATGATAACTCTCTGCATTGGATCCAGCTCTGAACTCGAAAGCCTCAGTGGTGATTCAGATCCAAGGAAACACCTTGGATCCAAGGATCTATGTTCAACTTCCACGTCTTTTCTCACTAGCCAGTCACTCGCTCCGGCTCCAAGGTAGATCCGCCGAAAAAACAGGGAGGAGTCCAAAAACCAACCTTGTGCGCCAAGTTATCTGATTCTTTGTTACATGTTTTACAAATGTACAAACAGTTCGTGTGTTTTACACGTAGATAAATATATACAAATATGTAAAACACATGATTTACATGTAAACAAATGCAATCTGAATCTCGGTTGTTACTGAATCTTGGTTCCGGTTGTTCCAAGGGTCCAAACATCGCCTGTGCCAACAAGACCCAAGCCATGAGCGATGGAGGCGCCATCGGTTGCGACCGCTTGACCGCAAGACTAAGCAGCGCAAAGACCGCAGGGCCAACCAGAAAGCCCCCCTGACGGGCACATTGAGTGAGGACGCTCCAGAAGGACATCCTTGGGCAAAAGAGAATTGGCCAAGAAAAACACAAGGGGTTTAGGGTTTAGGCTTATATGGTTGGATATGGTTGGCTTACTAAAGGGGTTTGTATGTAGCCAACCATATATTGGACCATATATCGAATCAAATAATCGTCCAAATGAAATTTGATTCGATGGATCAATTCCTTGATAGGGTTTGCAATAATTAGGACAATGGGGAATTTCTTTCGCAATGGCCACGTCATTTTATAGCTATATCTCCAAAAATTATCGTAATATTCAATATGATTGCAATTGCATCGGATATCAATGCATCTGTTTGAAATTATTTCTGATATTAAACTTGCATTTAGTAAAATCTAGATATATAAACGATAAAATTAATAAATACATAATTAAATCTAGAATTATCGATTGGATAATCAAATATTGGTTTTGCCGTATTGTTCCAATCTGTCCGCATATAGCCAAAATTAATACAGTATATATTGCGACTACATACACCTACTCCTTAATGAACATTCCAGCCCCCCACCCTTTTCTTTCTTTCAATTATCCTAGGTGCAGTCAGGTTTTTCTACATGTCATGTGCCTGTGGTAATGCATAGGATGCGGTTGTTCATTCAACCAAGTAACCTAAACCCTTTGTTCCACCCGGGTTCAGAAGGCCCGACACCCACATGGAAGGCAAGGCATGGACGCAAGACGAAGACGCGACGCTTCCGAAGACCAACGCCGTTCGGGTCGACCCGATGTGGGTCGGCGGGATTACAGTGATGAGTCGGTGAAGAACTCACACTGTTTCTGTGGTCAAGAACTCACTCAAAACATCTCAAAACACCAAGGCTTCCAGGTTCTCACCATTCCGAGTACCCATTTGGCAGACGGCTTCTTTCAAGCGAAAAATGATGTTCAAGGCCTGAACATGTCCAAAATTACATGTGCCATGAACATATAATTTCATAATCACATCATGTATACCTGGAACCCAGACATGACCCCTGTTTTGATAGGTGTTGGGTGGTTGGTGGTCCAAAATAGAGGTCATTCAGGTTCTAGGTATTTATATACATATATTGTTAAATCAATTATAATGATACATCAAGGCTACAAAGGTTGCTTGCTGGAATCTCATGGAATCGCCAAAAGGCCAGCCCCCAGCGGAACTTCTCCACCGAAAGTTGAAGCACATTTATCAGTGTGGGTAGCGATGGTGATGGTCTCATGTGGGCCTTCAGTCGATCCATCACCCGAACCTTCAACTCGACCGCCATGTTACTTCGATCCTCTTAAGGACCTTCACCCTGCGGAAAACCGGTGTAAGTTCAGGTGAATAAGCTGGTTGAGGCGCCAGCATCAGAATGTGATTCATGGATGAGCTTATTGGAATCCACCCAAGGTACAAAATGCAGGACAACAAACTGGGTCGAGACTTCTCCTTTGCTCAACAAACTTAGAAACTGCGAGAGTTGGTTTGGAAGATGCATTTCCTGTACTGGGAGTGGTTTGTCAGTTTCTATGTTGATTCTTGTGAGCGTAAGGCCCGTAAGGCAAATTCTGAGCCACTCCTTCTTCGGTGTGAACTTGCCCCACATGACCATCAGCGGAACATAGGCCAAGGAAAGAGCAAAGGCAGCCACTTGGGAGAGCAGAATCATCACCCAAAAGACCACCTAAGCTATCTAAAATGACATCAGGAATGGTCAAAAATAAGTAAGTGCCAGAACACATTCCGCCCTGCATATCGAGATTTTCAAAATCACGACACAAATCTTTGTGACACAAACAATCATCTTTGATGTGGTTTGTACCCAAGCCTTCCAAAGCACATTACTTCAATCAATGTGTCTTTCTTAAATCAATGAATCAATGTTTGATATTCTGTTCTTCACATATCATTTGGGAAAACAAACACCTGCATGAGATCCAACGAGGACCACCCGGTGCATGACGCAAAGAGGACACCGCTCCAAACCGGAACTCTTATGGTTCGGGTCGTTCGGGTCGTTCGGGTCGTTCGGGTCTTCGGTCTCCGTCTTCGAAGCAAACGAACCGTTGGAGAGAAGACATGTAACAAGCTGCCAGGCCGTTCTTCAGGTAGTTCATGAGGCCGTTTTGGAGTTGTCCAGGCAGTTCAAGGAGTCAATCATGGAATGTGACACGGTTCATCTGAGAGATACCTCTTTCAATCTCTTTCAATATATAGCATGTTGAATGCGAAGTGTACATGACAGTACGCCACTACGCCCCTCAAGCAATTTAAAAAAACCATCATGCGCTCTTCTCTCCACCAGTTGTTCCACCCAGTAAATCTTCTACAGAGCCCCAAAGCAAAGGTTTTCCTTTCAACAAAGGACCAGCTTCGCTTCTGCCATCTCCGAACATCCACCGTAGACCTCTCTGGATGATCCTCTAGCATCAATGTAGGTATATTTATGATTCATGATATGCCAATCCCATGGAGTGTCTGGGTAGACCCGGCCTGTTTGCTGGACACGCTGAGCTGCGCGGCACCGTTGGAGAGCGCGGCTTCCAAGAGCAAAACCACGGTGTAAAGGACCGGCGACCACAGGATCAAGGCACGGGCACGCTGCTGGTCCCAAGCGCTTTCATTCACGATCCACTGACCCATGACAACCCCCAGGACGGAGGCAAACAAAGAACAACTAATGAAGAAACCGGACATGCTGGCAGTCTGTCCCATGCTGGTGGCGAAATCCAAGGTGATTGGTAGGAGCATCGCATCATTCAGAAAATTGGAGAACCAACGGAAGAGCAGCGCGCTCTGAAACCGAAGGCTGTTGCCTCTGTGGCTTACAAGCACCGGCTGTACCCGGTTTGCGTAAAGTTCATGTACCAGAAAAACAACGTAAACGAAGCCCACTGCAAGCCAGGTCGTCAAGGTAAAGGATACCTGGCGATCGGAAAAGCTCTCAGCAGTGAGATTCTTCGTCAAGGGCCCCGCTGACACATGGACGAAAGAAGCGTCCAGGTCGACCAAACGCGTCTTGCCAAACGTCATTGATTTTGCAGAACCAACAGAGGTTGAAGGACCTGAACTAGACGATCCCAGTTGGGAACCCCAGGTTACGGTCCTATGGTCCCGGTCACTGGCTACCTCTCTAGGAAGGTCCAGCGACCAAGCCGCTCGCGAACCCCAAGTTCGATAGATCGCTCCATGCCGACGCGAGGCCTTCTTGAGCAACAAGCCGCCAGAGACGGTCCACCGGTGTATAAGACGGTCCACCGGTGTCTGTGAGGAGGAGGTTTCAAGTGCCAACTCCGGACACAGTACGTGGGCATTGGTCTTCCGTATTTCGTACTCAACAAATGTCCGTCTATCAACATGCCTGGACCTTCCAAGGGTTGTCCATTGAAAAAAGCACAAGTAGTCTAAGGGCCGGGTCTTCCAGCCAGGTGACCCCGAACTGAAGCTGTTGGTTGTGGCCGGACCGAAACCGGGTCACGAACCACATCAAAAGCACCCATTCCACCTCCACCTTCGCACACAAATCGGGTGAAAAGCGGGTCAAAAATGGTCAAACACATTAAAGCACAAAACTTTCGAAGACCAATCCCTGAGGATCGAAAGTTAGCTCTATATGCTAACATTTGGGGTTGTGCCTTCTGGGGCTCTCCGACCTCACCCTGTGAGGTCCGACCTCAAAAAACGAGATCATACCAGAACCCAAAAACCACAAAACCACAGAACCCAAAAACCACAAAACCAACGATCCCAAATTCAAATTCGTCACGGGTTGTCACGCTGGAGTCCGACAATGACCTCATTTTTAAAGGGACAAAATAGACCAATCACGGTCTGTCACGGTTCGTCACGCCCTGGTATGCTTGGTTCTTGGGATTTCATGGTCTTATCCTCCGACAATGATACTGGAATTGTATATACATTTCAGGTACTCCAATCTGTGATTCGACAACGTCTTCAAATAACACGATCAATAGAAACGTATGCATATCCTGAGATCATTTCTATTTGTGACCTATGTGTGGTCATGCATCGTCAGGGAATCCTGGCACTCCCGTGACGGTTGCTGACTCCGGCTGACTCACTCAGTTTCCTTGGTCAAAATAGAGGTTAGCCTTGTTTCACCTCTTCTAGTTGGGAAAACAAAACAAAATTAAGGGTCAAATATGGTCATGGAGAAAAAAGGATGCCCGACATGGGCATGTTCCACCACAAACGGCACGAAGCCGAAATGGAGCGTGCAGCCTGCCAAAGCGGGGAGTCCAAGGGTTGCCATGCTGGACGAGCCTCGCAAGACACATTTTCTGCGGTGCGAAGAAGGGGCGTAAACCTAGGATAAGGATGGAGTATGATGGCCTAGTCAACAGCACATCTAGATAGACATATTCAATGATTCCCTGCGACAATACATACCTATGGGTGTTGAGTGAATTTTTACACTTACTGCAACCTCATGAATCAGGTTGCAGTGTAAAATTCACGACCGGAATCGCCGGGAATCGCCGGGTATGGCGGAAGAGTCGGCCACCGTTGCGGGTCGGCCACCGACCGGACCATGGGACGTGGCCTGGGGAAGACGCCGTTTCCGTGGCGCCGGGGTGACCAGGCCACGTCAAACACGGGTTGGGCCATGAGTTGACACTCCACATGGACAAACACAATCTCGACACAACGGTTGCAAGGGTGGCGAGATAGCCAACGGTTGCAACCGTTAAGTCTGGAGTCTGGAAAACGATCGATCAGCCGGGCACCAAGGTTTCACCAGCATGGGATTGAAGACGTCACCAGATGGGTCATGGATGGTTTCAGATGGGCACAATCCCCACCAGCATGGTGGTTCGGCCCATCTGTCAGATGACATCTTCGACTGCCCCGGATCTGAAACCACTGTGGTGCTTCCCCTCTGATCCTCCTGATCCTGACTCCCCCGGAGACCAAGCGATCTTTTGCAGCTGGAAGAAACCCAAGCAGGAAGGTGGGGGGGCAAATTCTCCTGCAGCTATAAGCTAAAGATTTACATATTAAATCTATATTAACTCTATAGAAAGAAGTTCACAACTATATACCTGGTGTCTCTTTCAGTACCTCAGAACATGTGTACTTGTACCTGTTTTTGCATGTCATGTCAAATCTTTTCATCCGGGTACTGGGTCATCCAGTTCTTTTCACGAATAGCTCACCGACCCCCCAAACGTTCCGACACCGACCCCTCCGTCCGTGTCGGGAACGAGGCCCGGGCCGCCCGCAAAGGCACTCCCATGGCCGTGCTGAGAAAGAAATGCTGGGATCAACAGAGAGGAAGGGCAATTTGAGGGCGGATCCAGGTGATGAAGTGGTTGAATGTTCTGGCATCAGCTGAAGCGGGAGGCCCCAAGCATAGACCGTGCGGACCTTTTCCAAGGTCTTCGATGCAAAGACCGACAGTATGCGTCGATTGAACTCCCAAGTTGGGTTAAAAGAGGCGATGGATGTGCAATGACTGACCTGAACGGGTTGAGTCTTGGCTCGCTTGTCGGCAACCCCACGGAATGATGGCTGGCATCTGCAGCATCTATGCAGTTGGGCTTATCCAAATATCCAATTTGAGAATAATTATCTGGGGGCACCGTTGGACACTCCACACACTTCCTTGCAACAAAAGCACCTGAATATACCTGAATGCCTCTAGTCTCTTACCATTCCTCTGCTTTCGAGACAAACAATATAGTTTGACGTTGATTGCCGGAACTACTGGCCACGACATGAACAAATACAGTGTACGTAACATACACATAAACTAAGTCTCTATGTTTGTACCTGAGCAATCCTGAGCCAGCACAGCAGGGCTCATCAAACCAACAAGATGCTGTTGACACACATCCGAACCCTGTCCACAAACACGCTGTCGAAACCACCTCTGTCGCCTGTTTCACCAACCCCTGTCGGCAAAAACAAAAGACAAACACATTAACAAAAACATTCCCAAAAACCACCAGGACATGTCCTTCAAACCATCCCACGCCCGGGAGTCTGGGAGGAATCCATTTTGGAAGCAACCCGGACTTCGGAGGACGAACATACCGATGCTTCGGGTGTAGGTGGAAGAAACCCGATGCTTCGGGGGAGAGAAGACACCCCACTGTGTGGCGAGTGCCTTCCGGATGTGCATGCGAACCCAGAGCATGCGCTGCTTCCATGCATGCTGAGTTCCATGCATGCCAGGCTGAGGTGATGTCAGGGTTGGGGGTGAGAAATCAAATTCTGCTACCTGTGCTTGGAACCCTTCAACATTGAAGCCGCCTTGGCATGCGTCGGTTTCCAAACCTTACAAGCAACATGAAAAACTATGAAACAACAAAGGAGCTCTTGATGTCCTCCCAGAGATATCTCACCCATTGAACAATCATGTTCAATCATCCCCAACCAGGCCATGTCCTCAAAAAGTCCATCGTCCGTCAACCTCAAACACCTTCCGCAGGCACCCCAAAGTGTGGCACCCAATACGAAGGCCATGGGAATCGGTGCAGGACCAGGTTGCAGGTACTTGGCTCAATCATGTTCAATCCAAATCTCTCCGAGGCTCGCCTATATCCCTATACAGCCCGCCGTTGTTGCCTGCCTGCCTGTGGCCTGGTGTTCCTGCTAACTGGAGTTGCCCAACATGACTCGTGGTGTTGGCTGGTACATGTAGCTCAAGCCTGTTACCCCCGCCGATCGTCTGGGACCTGCCGTCCCTGCTACCCCCGCCGTCCCTTTCCTTTTTGGCCGCCAGAAGGCTGCCTGGCGGATGGGAAGCGGCACTCCCAGACTCGGCCAATATGATCGGCCTATCGGGGTGAAAAGGGGTCAATGTAAACACTCCCTGAAAGCATGAAAGTGGAATGAGTGGAATGATAATAACACCCCAAAAGCCATGGTCCTCTACAGGGTCTGCTCAGCTTCCATTCTTCTTTGAGGGATGGTATTATTCTATACATGTTTGGGTGATGGATTTCCATGCATTTCCCTCCGTCCATGGAAATCGTCGCTAGCTTGGCTTCTGCACCAAAAGACTGTGGGTCGCCTCCAGCCCGATCTGGAGAACGCTCCCGTCCAAGCCACTCAGCTTTTGCACAACACATCTCCGGATTGAGCTTGTATTTTTTTAGTAATTTGGGTGGGACCCAGTTTTGACTCACAGCCTGACAGCCATATCGCAATGCGCGGTGTTGACATGTTTTGGCACATCTTTTGAGCCAAACGACCCTCTCTTAAGGGTCGACCTCCGCTGAGCCAGTCCACGGCCGCTTTCAGAGCCGGCGCGCCACCAGAACGCGCCGGCTCGCGCCGTTCGTTCAGTCTTGTGATCTCCGAGTGTTCCACGCTGTTCAAACCTCCTTGCCCGATTCCTTGCCATTCTGTGTGACCTCATGACTCAGGTCCCAAGTCATGGACACAACTTTGTAGACCTCAGGGCCACCGGTGGCACACGGAAGCACCACGAGCGGCATATTCTCATGAGCGGCTCGCGGGAGGTGTTACAGTTGGTCTATGTGGGTCTCTGGATATCCCTTTCTGAAGTTCCAGCAAACAGAACACACAAAACATGACAAAACTACATTTACAAGGGTAGAGATTGGAACCCAAAGGTTGGACACTAGGGGGGCCCCAAGATTCTACAAAACATGACACTAAAAAAAAAAACACACTCCCTATATATAAAAAATGTAAGTACGTATAAGAAGAAAAGATCTACAAGGGGGAATTGTTGCACTGAACGTCTCAACCGCAAAGTTAACGATCCTGCCCACTGCGGCGTGTTTGGTTTTCTTTTCACATGCCTTGCTTCTGGGTGTGTCACCATGTGTTTTCATCCTGCCAAAAAACATCAAAAACATTTGTCATATCTTGTTCTTGTTGGCGCTTTGCTGCTTGCGGCAAGTCGCAATGATGGTGCTCAAAGTCACCATCACCAGCTGCAGGGCGGCGTAGAGATTTCGCCCCCCAAGGTCCAGGAAGGCCCGCGCCACCACAGAGGCCATGAAACTCGCCAAGTAGGACAAGGACATGCTAAGGGTCCGGTAGGCCTGGATGGAGAAATCGTGAACAAAACTGGACAGCATCCAAGGCTACTTACTGGGCGACCAAGGTCGTGACGAATATTTTTGTGTTAAACTGTGCATGTTTCACGTGGGATGTTGAAAATACGGGTCTTTGAGCAAACCCGGATGCTCAGTTCCCGTGAGCAGATTGTTGTTTGTTGACTTAGTCCGTTGTTGCGGAAAAAAGGTGCACCCATGGGCAACCGAATATTTGGATTTGCATAAGGAACGTGGAACAATCCCGATAGAAGGGGAGATGTTCCCGAATGTGTTTTGATTTCCCTTTTTGCATTTGTTCTGACATTTGGCCTGCCGTGAAGTCTGACATGTATCCTGACGATTCTTCTGGCATGGACTCATGACATGTGCTCTCGCATCAAAATGGCATGCACTAGCACATGGTCCGACCTCGGTCATGATATGTAGCGTTCTGCCATCAAACGTGCCGTGTGGTGAACAAGTGCATATCTGACTTGGCGTTGGCATGCTCTATGACTTTATGGCCTGCAGAGTTATCTTCTGGCATTTTTTGGCATGTCTTCTAACTTCCTTTCCGGAATTCTATTGGGCATGTCGTCTAGCATCCAATTTCTGGCGGTCTATTTAGTGCATGTTCTGCGTTCTAGCTGGCATATCTTCTCACCTTCGAAAATTGCATATCTTCGTTTGAACATCCCCTCCGGACTTCTATCTGGCTTTTGTTCTCGCATCCTTTACAGCATTCTGTCTTCTGGCATTCTCATCTTATGATATCCTTTCTGGCAGATTCGGATATACCTTCTGACATCCTTTCTGTCATTCTACCTGGCATATCTTCTGACATCCTGTGCCGCATTCTATTTGAAATGGCCTGTGTTCGTGTCCGCGCGTGCCCAGACCACGCTGGCGCTCGTTCAGGTCCGTGCGTGCCCAGACAGCATTGGCGCTCCGTATAGTGTTCAGGTCCGTGCGTGCCACTACCGAGCTGGCGCTCTCTATGGTGTGCGGGTCCGTGTGTGCCCAGACTGAGCTGGCACTCGCTGTGGCCATCTCATCGGCAGGTGGGAAACAGCTTTACTTTGAGCTATCCTCACCCGCCCAGGTGACCCAGGTGCACCGGTAGGATAAGTGGAGCGGGGTGACTGGCGAGGCATACCTGGGTCACGGTGTGTTGTGGTTACATCTGATGTTGTGTTGTCATTGTGTGTGTGTGTGTCACAGTGCTTGTTGCCTGCTGTCGTGGTGTGGTGTTTTGTCAACTGTTACATGCGTTGTGGCTATGTTTTGTGTTGCCATTGTTTGTGTCATTGTCTGCTGTCTGCTGTTTTTGTCCTTGTGCACTGTCGAGTGCTGCGTGTTGTGCTTATGCTTGGTGTTGCCATTGTGCGTTCCAATCTTTGTTGTCGGCTGTCATGTCGGGCCAATGTCATTGCTTCTTGTCTGCTGCTGCTGTTGCCGCGTTGCCATTGTACGTATAGTGCGTTGGCAGCAGTTAGAATATGGTTTTAGTGAATTCTAACTGCTGCCAACTCACTATATAGTGCTTACATTGGGTGTTGTCATTGCGTGTTGTCAGTGCCAATACACGCGCCGTTGGGCTGGGCTGTTCTGCGTCGATGCGTGAGTGGGTTGTCCGGACCTATCCAGCGACCTCGACCGGCGCAAAGACAGGGACACCATGGGACACCGGGACACCTGCAATATGTGGGTCAACACCCTGAAGCTTGCTCTATAGCATGTAGCTTGACCTCCCAGTATCAAGTGTAGTGTTCAGGCCGAAATCATCGGGCACTTGGTCACGACCCCCAATGTCGACCATCCGCTAGGTAGACGTTCAAACCACATGTCTTGCAGGTGCTTTAGAGATGCTAACTCCATGTAACTCCTGACATGGACCTACTTTCGGAGCTCCAACATGCTCCAAACCCTGTATGATCTACCCAATCTCCACATGAAGCTGCTGGAGCCGCTCTCCATCGGAAGCTTTCGCCCACCTCGTTGCTGAAGTCCGTGCCCTCCTGGGCCGCGCGGGAGGCCCAGCCCTCGGCAATTCCGTTGGAGAGGCTGGCACAGCTGTAGACCACCGTGGTGGCAAACAGGAGGCCGAAAGCACCAGTTCCGAAGTCAAAGAAAAAGATCACCTGGGAGATGCCCTTGAAGGCTTTTTGGAGTGAATGCGGTGACCGACTTGACCGACTTTTGATGGTGCATGATGCTTTTCACCGCTTGAACAACCGGTGACCAAAATACTGCATGGGATGAATGATACAAGGTGAAACACAACATGCTTTGAGTCCAACAAGTCAAGAATACCTTAAAACATGTCCCAAACTGGACCTTTGGCGCAGCTCCAGTCCGATCATGTGCAACCATTCAGGTGTTTACTTGCATTTGTGATTTGTGCAACAGGCTTTCAGAAATCTATACCCAGAGGCTCCAATGTAGTCAGCATATGCATACATTTGGTTTTGTGTCCATTATTTTGGACATTGGCTTCGAGACCCTATACGTACTCAAAATTTAAGCACATCCAAAGTTGATAAAGGTTCGAGAACTTCGAGCCCACCGAGTGGATCCTCATTTGACCCATTTTATCCCATTTTTCTCCCTCTCTGGCAAAAGCGCTGGTCAAATAGCTAGTGGCGCATGAAAACTTTCATTCGAAGGAGCCACCGCATCAACGTTCTGAGTTCCAACATTGCCCGGTGGCATCGGCGAGCAATTCCCTTGATACTGCCAATGCAATCCTCATCTAGGTATGTGTGGAAAAACCTAGCATTGATCAAGTGGACCTTCATCTCGGCATTGATCTCAATGAATGCCTGAACTGAATTATGGCTGCACAGCTCTTTCTTCAAGCTAAAGCTTAAATTTATGTTGACTACATTGGAGCCTCTGGGAAACCACAGTTGTTACAAGAAACATTACACACTAATTTTGGACCAGATTCATGATGTTTCGGCTTGATGGGGTAGTGAAGGATCGCTCCAGAAGCACATCGGTTTGCCAACGCTTGGTACACATCCAGGAACCTGTGCGTTCGGTCAAGAGTTCTTTCCCCTTTTCAGGATATTGAGCACTTTGGGATTCCACACTAATTAATACCCCTGCAAAATGAATCAATCTGCAGCTAGAGGACTCCCAACATAGTTGACAAAGATGGTCAGCCTGTTGTTGAGTCAAAAACCTTGGATACCGCTCCATCATCAACATCCATTCTGAGAGCTTCATGCAGCTAGCCGCAGCCAACGCGAGTTGAACTGGCCGCTCGGCGTCATCGAACCGTTGGCAAAGGTCTCCAAGACAAACTGCCAAAAAAGCCGTTATGACACGGGAGGTCCAGGCCTTGAGCCGTAGCTCAGGGTATTCACCCGCTGCAACCACAATCAATGCAGTCGGGATATGAGGTTGGTAGTGCCTGACATCCACGTTACGTGGTTGAACCGTTAAACACAGGTTTTTTGAAAAGTCTGACATTTCAACCCCCACCTTATTTGGGACATGGAGCACCACGTGTTGAGGCGACGAGTGAACTCGTGCAGTTGTTGGCCTAGAGGACCTGGACCCAAACAGTTGTATTGGATCAACTCATAGATTGCTGAAGCATTCAGCCATTGACAGATACCTAGGTGGACGCTATGCATCACGCAAAATTTCAGCATGTCCGGTCGGAATCCGGCCACCAATGCCAGAGGGCAAACTTCATGGACACACTGTGTGTAGAACTGCGCAGTGCTGAATCGCGGGGTTTGGTCAAAATTCCTGAAGGTTGTGTACCTAGGATCCGGAGGCTTGAAGGTGTGACGACAAGTATTCTGGGGATTGATCAAAAGGCAACCATTCTTTATGGGGAAAATTTGTGCTTTAAGAGGTGCTGATGGCGACCAGCCAGCCTGGATGCTTTGCACTTGTGGCAAATAGCATTCGACAAGTAGTATTTGCGAAGCCTCCAAGTTTCAGCGTGGAACTTCCTGATCTGAGCAAAACATACCCTTTAAAGCCCCAGGTGCACATAAACCGTACATGATATCAACATGTTGTTTTTGAAATTTATAGCAAAACTTTGTTCGTTTGGGAACTCCAGTGTCCAGTCTCCACGAAACTCAGTTACGGCCCACTTGTCAGCCATGGGAGTCCCTGCTCTGCGCATTGCTTTCGGGTCAGAAAGCGGGGTGCCATCAACACCACATGAAGGCCAAAACCCAGCGAATGCTACCTGAGATCGAGCTGAGGCAGTGGCTGGCGATATCTGGCGATGAAAGATATGCGCGCCGGGAGACCCAACAAACAAGACTTAATTGAGGTTAGTTGCATTCAAGCTCCATGCTGCAATTCTGAAAATAGGAGCCATGGTTTTGTGGCCCAGGCTGACTTCATGACGCAAAACG